GTTCACCACGGGTATCGAAACCCGGTTTCTAGTGTTGTAAGTCCGCAGACATACCGCTGTGCCACTGGGGGCCATATTCATATTAAAGTATTAAAAGTTGTTTTAAATATATAATATAATCATACTTTGTAATTGTATTTTGCATTTATGCCAAATATACTAAGGTTATCTGCCGCCATCCTTAATTGTGAACCACTGACCACAAAAAAAGAAAAGAAAGAGAAGTCAACATCATTCTACCGCCTATCATTCACGCTAAGGGATTAACTGTCGTTCTTATATGCACTCACAGTTTAAAGTGCTTGGAATATTTTGTGGTATCGCATGCGGATTCGAACTCAGCTCACGAGCTCCGAAATCTAAAGCTTCGGCCAGACCCGTGCTTTTCAGTGAACTTTGACATTTAAGCACTACGCTTTATATATGTTTCGTGTGTGTCCTTAAACTGAAAGTTTTTAAAAAGATGGTTAAAAATATAAAGTATAAAACCTTAAACTCATATATATATATGCAATAAGTCACAATTACTTGTACGAATATTTTGAAAGTTAACTGTGCATTGATTTTGATGAGTTACTAAAACAAGTTTTTAAAAGTTATTATAAAGCTCAAAAACTTCATAGTGTAATTATATTTTGGGAATTTGCTATTAAACTTTATGAGTTTCTGTCAAATGCATTCAATTTAGAATACTTATGCAGTGATAAATTATGATTGGTTGACAAACTCATCTTCAGTGCACGCGCAGACAACATCGCTAGTATCTGGGGGAAACCGATATAGCTTCTAATAATCCTTTAACGTTTCAGTAACACATCAATTTCTGTAAGCGAACGAAATCGTGAAGGAGAAATTTCGGCTACAGAATACTCCTACGAAACTGCTGTCTGCTGGATTTTTTAAATCACAAATTATATATATATATATTATCATGGGAAGTCCAAATCAAAAACCAGAAGTTGAAGCATTTGAGACACTAGGAAGACTGTGTGAAGCTTTCGCCTACAGATCCTCGGCTCATGGGATTCCACGCATTGTGACTGCTAAGGGAGTATTTCGAAAGTTGATGTGGCTTTGCGTATTTGTGATAGCGGTAAGTGGCTTTGGCTATCATAGCATTGTTTTAATCACAACGTATCTGTCCTATCCTCGCCTGACAACAACTGATGAGGTTCATGCTACAGAAATTGAGTTTCCTTCTGTGACTGTCTGCAACGTTAATTCTCTTAAGAAAGAATACTTTGAAAAACTCTTTCCGGTCTCTGATTCCTCATTTCCCTCTCAGCTACATCCCTCGCCTATTCCCTCAGAATCGAATATTGTGAAGCCGATAGTCAACAAAGATATGGATAACTTGGTTTTTAAACAAGCTGCAGCCTTCAAGTCCGATACATACACAACAGATGATGAAACTGTAGTCACCCCGAACATTTGTCTGAATGATTCCATAGATGACTTTATCTCTAAGAGTCGAACAATGGATCTCAGTGATATGTGGATGAACCTTGTCGCGAATAAGGAAACACTCAGTAAATATGGGCACCGAGCAAACGACTTGATTGTTCAGTGCACATACAACTCAAGAAACTGTTTCAATGGAAGGTAAGAATTTGCTCTGTCAAGTTAATCTCGAGTACTTGCTTCAATAGAAGTTAAGGCCTTGCTATGGTTCCTTAGTTATAACAAGTATATTTAAACGATGGGCTATTTTTAGATGAGACTACTTCAAAATTTAAGAAGCAACTCTTGTAGGCCTAATATTCGTGATAGAAATAACGCTAGACTAAATGTTTCTTTTCCCATTTCTCTTAATTAGTCCATTACAGATTTCAAGTAACAGGTGTGTAAAAATAGCAGATTCTATGACACTAACTCCGTAATGGCAAGAATCATTTGGAGTAAAGATCACTTAAGTCGTTTGTATTTTTTGCGTCATGTTTATCAGGAATATTGGGTTTACTGGTTCCAGTGCTTCTCCAGGTTTCGACGCTGAACACCGTAACATATTAAACTTTATTAGGGTTTTAATATTCTTTCAATATGCTTACAATTCAAGACATTATTTCGGTATATAAACATCTATTTAATTAACGATTATAAAACTAATTGTGAATGCTATTTTATGATGTTACAAAGAATCTCAATAAGGCCTTACGTCAAACTTCGATGAAAATGTGCACAAATATAGTAACAAGTGTAAGACGTTACATCCTTGCCAGGCTATAATTCCCGAGATGCTGGATCTACATTTTATGTTAATTAGCGAATATTTTTCGTGTGAATTACTTCTGAACTAGGTACAGAAAACAATTATATATTTATTAACAAATCTAGTAATTATTAAAGCTACGTCAATGCTTCTTTGAGAGCACTGGAAAGTATCTGACTTCAAATCTCGAAATTCGCGCTAGTAGTTGTATGTTGTATTTAAGTATGAGTGTTCTTTTTTATTTAACGGTAAGAAGTAAAATATTTTCTTTGCACATTTTGGTTATATCTGATAATATATTGTCAGTTCATATGTTAATAGTTGGATATACTTACATAATCGCATTTTATAATGGCACCGTAAGACAAAATTGGCTTACCAATATGTATTTGCATGTGCTTCACATGATATCCACTTGAAACAAATCTTAATCTCAAATAATCTTCATGCACTAGAATGAATCTACAGTGTTGTTATTTTAATCATCTGCTTCGTCTGTACCACTCTCGTTAGCGGAGTCACAGTCCTGATCAGCTACATCGATGTTGTGGTATTAGAAAGTACAGAGATGTATACTGATGACGTTGGAAATCTATAGGTCATCCTTCTATCACTAGCCAATGACAAACAGCACACAGTCTCTGTTTCAATTACAAGGGGCTAAAAAAATGTGACCGCTCGAGTGACATGCATATGTTGCTGCATAAACTCTCAATTCTGGCCACTAACGCCATTGAATCCCTTATAGGTTAGGCAGTGCATCTTTTTAAATATAGGTACTCTTAATGTCGTGTTCCTTGCTATCTGCCTAGCCTTTTCCTTGTACCTTCGATGTTCTCGAAAAGCACGAATTTGAAGTTTATCACAAAGTTCCCGTGAATATAAGTTCTGGGCTCGAAAGAAAACAATTCCACATGCAGGATGTATAACTTTCCTTGTTCTTGTTGTGTTAAAGTACAATTTTAGGGCATATTACCATCAATTTTGACGCGTGTAACTTGATTTTTTGCCGTTGTGTATATTCGATAACACGTTCAAGATCACCTACAAATTGTAGAAACTACATTTCCAACCTATGTTATTTTGTGACGTGATGAACCATTTTATGCTTCCTTAATGACACTCATCTTTCATAGAGCACATAACCCTAAGAAACATAGACCTTTTTGTGAATACTTTGTGTTGATTGAAAATAGCATTATCATTAATTTAGTGTTTATTATAGGAAATATCTGCAATTAAATAGGTAAAATATTCTATACTAAATTAAATATAAGTAAGAAAAGCCAATATTCAAATGCTCATTTTCATCAAGTAATTTGGTAACCAGTCCTCATGCAGTTTATACTTTAACTTGTATGTAGTTGTATTATGTTCTTCTACTGTATTCTGTCAACGAAGAATGCTGAAAATATAAAGAATAACGTTTTACAATAGTTAACAAATTTTATTTTCCACTTCTGAGAACTAATAAGGACACAGTGATTGCATCTTTGCATGACTATCAGAAATCCGGCAAAGTGTTTTGACGAACAAACATTGTAAAGATATTTACTGAGCTATATATTAATTATGAAACGAGAGTTTCTGACAATACAAAATATTGCGTGAGCAATGTTTTCAATTTTTATCATTTGAACACGAATGTGTACAGTGGAAGTGCTTAGTTTGTCTGGTGCCCGAACATGCTCCCCTAATGACGTGGAGAATACTTAGTTTCTGAATGTTCATATGTTAGTAAAGCATCTTAAAAAGTCATTCGGTCGAAATAGGATATTATGAACAGTTCAGGGGGCTCATAATTTTACACAAAAAGTTATATGTATGGTAAATGTGGCTCAAATGGTAGGCAAACAAATCTACAATAAGAAACTGATTGGGTATATAAGCTTTATTATCAGATACCAAGTTTCTTAGGGACGGTTTTGTTAAAGTAAACAATCAGAAATATACTTTCATTAGATTTTTCGTAATTCACAATTAGATTGCTAGTAAGTTGAAAATTTCCGTTACAGCAACAACTGAAGAAGATTAAGTTAAAATATTAAACAATGATGGAATGTTAATTTTGTTTTATAACTGCTTTGTAAGAAAATGTATTGCAATTAATATAGTATCTGTTACACAGATTGATAGTGTATTTCAACATATATATATATATATATGTATATTCATTTGAAGAAATGAAGAATCATTCTTTTATTCCATTTTGATCTCATTGACTTATAAACAAGACAGTTAATTATTACTGTTTGGCGTGTAACTCTTGATCTTCAATATTTTTCTTGAAATAATATCTAATTTGTTCAAGGAACAAGGACATAAACGTTCTATCTATAGATAAAAGGTGAGTATCGCATGATCTGTTAATTAGGTAATAATATTTAGTGAATCGATTTACGACTATTAGAGTGTTTTCTGTGTGGTGAAAATTATCTATCTTGCGATTACATACAAATCAGACTACAAGTAATTCGGTATAATTATTTGTTATGCACGGTTAATACAACCTTTTCTTGATAAATCTACAGCATCTAGTACGTTTAACTTTATTTTGATTCGAAGTTCACTTTATAAATTTTATTTTAAAACTTTACCAATCTCTCCATTTAGTGATTTTTTTATGTAAGATAAACTGTCCTAATTCACTTTACCACATATAATATTTAATTTCAAAGCTTACATTGTCAGTTTATTCTGTTATTTCTGTTTTTTGTATGTTATTCAATTTATGGATCAAAGGACTTTTAAAGAAGAAAAAAAAAAACATCTTAACGTTTTTTTTAGAAATATTTTTAGTCTTGTGAATCTAAATGTCTATGAGTCATTATGAAACAGATGTATATTATTATTGTTACATGGTTTAGATAAATGGAAAAAAATTACTGTAGTGAATATTCTAGGGTAATGATATAATATTCACGAATAGCAGAGAGTTTCAGATTCTGTAAAATAAAATCGCAATAGGACATTTAAATTAAAACAGATTTATAAAAAAAATATTTTTATTACGCCACCAACTAACTTTCAGTCAGCGACAAGAAATCATGTTACTAATGCATGTTTTAAATTAATGTAAATCCAAAGAGGCAATTCTGTATTCTAGCTTTTCTATCGTCAACATTGAAACCACGCCATCACCCAGATTTGGTCTGTGCCATACCATTTCTGTCCGGAAAGAACAAATGAGAAGACTGAAGAAAACAGGTTCCACATTTGGTAAGACCGTTGTAGATTAATAGTCTGGAATGCACGCAAGATATATAAAGGTAAATCACAATAAGAAAACAAACAAACTTTTTCACAGAGATGATCTGAGAATAAGTAAGAGAGTCAAAATCACGTGATCTCCAGTGACGTATAGGTATCTGCGTTAATCCAACTTTACACTGGTTATATAGCCAGACCTGACATGACCTGGTGATTAGGGCGCTCGATTCACAACCTGTGGGTCGCAGGATCGATATCCAACGTTGAACATGCTCGACTTTTCAAAGTTGGGGGCGTTATGAAGTGACGGCCAATTCAACTGTTCGTTGATAAAGGGGAACCCCAAGAGTTAGCGGAAGATGTTGCTGGTCTGTTGTCTTTCTTTTGGTCGGCAATTTAAAATTAGGGACATGTGACGGATGTGTTATTATATATTTATTTTAATATCGACGTTTGCTTAAATTAACTTTATATTTAGAAATATACATAGCTTATAGTGTTAAACATGTATCGTAAATCTTCCGGCTATTTTGTTGTTTTGAAATTCGCGTAAAGCTACACGAGGGCTATCTGCGCTAGCCATCCATAATTTAGCAGTTTAAGACTAGAGGGAAGGTAGCTAGTCACCACCTACCCACTACCAACTTTTGGGCTATTCTTTTACCAATGAATGTTTATTCTCTAAAGTTGTAGAAAATTCTCGAGAGTAAGAATCAACAATATATGTGTGTACGTAAATGCTATAGTAGCTTTATATTGTTTCATAATCTGAATTTTCTAGAAACTCTCCACACGCCTATAAATGTAACCAACACGACAAAAAGGAGTATCTATTATTAGTTTGTTTTAGTCAGCGTGCAATAAACTTCGGAAGCTATAACTGTGATTGTTATAATGCTTATCAATCGAAAAACTTCAGATATTTAACCAGGAGCATTTACAAAGTTCGAACATTACAAATCATTTAACTTCAGTGGATTGACATTGGACATTAGTATGTTTACGAAAACATTATATAACTTCATCGTGGAAAACTCGGCGTGTGTGGCCGATAAATAACGAAGGACAAAGCTAGCTAGCTCCCCGTTAAGCGAACCGTACCTACATCAACTCGTAATTCACTCGCTCATCGTGAACTCTCGATAAGATATCAAGATTTTACAGACTGGAAAGAATACTTTATATTGCATATAAATTTGTAAAACTTTTGTACATAAATTATTGTGTATAAAAACTATGTGTAATAACTGTTATTGTAAATTGTATTTTAGTTTGTATACTAAAACATATTTGTGTTAAAAAAGAAAATTGTATGTATCAATCTTGTTGGCAAATATCGTAAACCGACTATATATCGGCTTTTACTTAACTGCTAAATCCAAAGAACAATTTAACTACTAAATTTAAAGTATTATTTAACTCAATTTCGGGCTATTTGATATTCTAATACATAACATAATAAATTGGGGGCTCGTGTCCCAGATCTTAATCAGAGACAAAATTCGATCTAAATTAAAATTTAAATCATAATTCAATTTATATATATATATCAATGTCAACAAGATTTTTATCATGTCTGATTATCCAGATTTTCTTGAATCACCTTCTCTCCAACAACTAGAAAGATATAACAAAAATGAATTGCTCAAACTGCCAGAGTTTTAGAACTAGAAGTTAAAAGATCAATGAGAAAAAATGAACTAAAAAAAACGTATTATCGAAATACAAATTGATGATGATTTGTTGCCTGAGCAAGCATTAGATGAATACTCTAGTGTACCCACTACCCAATCGGAGTTGAGGGATAAAGATAAGCTAGAGATCCTGCTGAAGCTGAAACAACTCGAGCTTTAACAAGCTCATATCAAAGCTGCGAAAGAACAAGCTCGTATCGAAAGTGAAAAAGAACAAGCTCGTATCGAATCCGAGAAAGAACAAGCTTGTATTGAAGCTGAAAGAGAAAATAAAGGTCTCGAGGCCGAGGAGGCTGGAATCGAAGTCGAGAAAGAAAAAGCTCGCATTGAAGCCGAAAAGAAATTAGGTTGAAAGAAATGGAAATTAGACTCCACACTGAGCGACCAAGGTAAAATGACAACTTTGAACTTAATCAATATGTTAAAGTAGTACCATTCAATGAAAATGAAGTTGATAAATACTTTCAACATTTTGAGAAGGTTGCCCAAACCATGGAATGGCCAACCGAAAAATGGTCATCATTATTACAAAGTGTCTTAACTGCTAAAGCACAAGAAGCTTATGCTGCTCTCTCTTTAGAAGACTGTACGAATTATGATAAGGTTAAAGCAGCTATTCTCAAAGTATACAAGTTGGTACCGGAGGCTTATCGCTAAAAGTTTCAAGGTTATCACGAACAAGATAATCAAACTTATATGGAATTTGTCAACGAAAAGAGGTTTATTTTGATCAATTGTGTAATTCTATGCATATTGGTAATAGTTTCGACAAACCAAGACAATTATGTCTAATTGAGGAATTTAAACGTTATGCACGTGACGACCTCAAAACTTACTTAGATGAAAAGAAAGTTGAAACACTACAGGAAGCAGCCACTCTTTCCAGTGACTACACTTTAACACATAAAACTACTTTTTATAAAAAAGAAATTCCTACCATCTCAATTAAAACCTGTATCGGTTCAATCCACTAAAGTTGAGGATCCTTCTAAAAATTTTACCTTATCTAGTTCGAAATCTTTTGACAGTCAGGATAAAACTTCTTTAAAACAATCAAGGACTGTCTGCCATTTTTGTTTAAAAACCTGGTCATGTTATGTCCGATTGTTGGTGTTTGAAAAAAAGAAAGAAAGGGAGGCAACACCCAGTGTGTTTGTGTCCACATATGGACGTAGTTTCACCAGACCACCCAATGCTGTTTATGTGGTCACAGATATAAAGGCTGGTGTAATCAGGGAGGAATTTAGACCTTTTATGTCTATTGGTTCAGCGTCTTTGACAAACAACACTGGCAATCCCATACCCATATATATTCTACGTGATATTGGGGCGACTCAATCATTGCTGTTAGAAGGTATATTGGCTTTAGATTCGAATTCCGTCACTGGTGAGTCTGTTATTGCTCAGGGTATTGAGAGTGGCTTTGTTAATGTTCCTCTTCACAACATTTACTTAGCATCAGACCTAGTTTTGGGACCAGTTGTTGTTGGAGTAAGACATACTCTGCCAATTAAGCATATCGTCTCTGAAATATTGAAAGTTGCCCATGAACTCCCCATGGGAGGTCATTCAGGTGTCAAAAAGACATGTGACAAAATTATGAGACATTTCCTTTGGCCAGAAATTAGGCAAGACGTTTCTCAGTTTTATAAAACTTCTCATACCCGTCGGTTGGTCGGAAAACCTAACCAGAAAATTCCTGTTGCTCCTTTGAAACCTATCCCAGCTTTTGAAGAACGTAAGTTCCGTCTTGAGGACATGGTCTTAACATTGTTACTCACTATGAAATATCTAATCAAGACTGTTAAATTGCAGTTTACCACTACAAGAGTATGATTTGGGGATAATCCATGTCAAAGGAGTTGATAACATTTGTGCTGATGCACTTTCTCGCGCTATATAATTTTATGATCATAAGATTATTTTTATTAATTGTGTTCTATACTGTTATGATGATTGAAGTTGTATACTCCTTTGAATAATGCATGAAATTTAAC